CATCTAGTGAATGACATCTTCAGGGATTTCTTAGATGTTTTCATGATCATGTATCTCGATGACATCCTGATCTTTTCTGCATCCATCGAGCTTCACCGGGGTCATGTACAGAAGGTCCTTGGTCGCCTCCGATTACATGGACTATGCTAAACCAGAGAAATGTGAATTTGAAGTCAGAGCATTCAGTTCCTGGGACTAATTATATCTAGAGATGAGCGAATCGAACATGACGAAGTGGAATTCGTTTCGAAGATTAGGAAAAATTCGATTCGCACCGAATCCGAAAATTAGCAAACTTCGGATGCACGAATCGAATTTTCCCAAAAATGGCGGCGACATGTGTGGCGACGGAGCGGGGATCTCTGGGAAGGCGTGCAGACAAGGCGCGCTGACCCATAATGCATTCATTCATGACATGTGATCGCATTAGCCAATCAGCAGCCAGCCCAGCCAGCACTGTGTAATGGTGGAGCTATAAATCGCGGCCATCTTAGAATTCTCCATTAGCCTCCGGTCATTCAAGAGAGACAGACCTGTCTGTATTAGGGACAGAGTTAGGGCCACAGAGACTTTAGGGCCACAGAATCGTTACTCAGGGACACAGAATCGTTACTCAGGGACACAGAATCGTTAGGGACACAGAATTGTTTCAGGGACACAGAATTGTTACTCCGGGACACAGAATCGTTACTCAGGGACAGACACAGAATGTTACTCAGGGACACAGAATTGTTACTCAGGGACACAGAATCGTTACTCAGGGACACAGAATTGTTACTCAGGGACACAGAATCGTTACTCAGGGACACAGAATCGTTACTCAGGGACACAGAATCGTTACTCAGGGACACAGAATGGGTTACTGAGGGACACAGAAATTGTTACTCAGGACACAGAATTGTTACTGAGGGACACCAGAATTGTTACTCAGGACACAGATTTGTTACTCAGGGACACAGAATTGTTACTCAAGGGACACAGAATCGTTACTGAGGGACAGAATCGTTACTGGAGGGACTCAGAATCGTTACTCAGGGACACAGAATCGTTACTCAGGGACACAGAATCGTTACTGAGGGACACAGAATCGTTACTCAGGGACACAGAATCGTTACTCAGGGACACAGAATTGTTACTCAGGGACACAGGAATCGTTACTCAGGGACACAGAATTGTTACAGAATTGTTACTCAGGGACACAGAATTGTTACTCAGGGACACAGAATTGTTACTCAGGGACACAGAATTCGTTACTGAGGGACACAGAATCGTTACTCAGGGACACAGAATTGTTACTGAGGGACACAGAATACTGTTACTCAGGGACACAGAATCAGGGAAACAGAATCGTTACTCAGGGACACAGAATGTTACTCAGGGACACAGAATCGTTACTTTCTGCTTCACAACCACTATTGTACGTTCAAAGAGTTAAATCCTGTTTTATGTTTGGGGTGCTTATTGAATTAAAGAGTATGTCAGACAACACGCAGAGGAGTGGCAGAGGAGGCAATGTTTCAGGAGCGAGCAGACGTGGCAGCAGAGGAAGGGGTCGAGGCAGCCACTAGTCGCAGCCAGAGGCCAGTGCTCCCAGTGTCATCCAGCGGTTTTCGTGTCTCACCGACAACCTGCCGTCATCGATTGGTTGACTCGGTCATCTTCCTCTTCCCAGGTCACCTCTGACACCTACAGCCAACGGTCGGTGGGTACGTCAGACACAACCGTTAGTTGGCATGGCCCGGGAGCAAGCCCCCACTGAAATCACGTGTCCTCTACCTGCCCCTGTCCTTTGGTGTTCCCTCACCAAGCGAAGTATCGCATGCTGTGGGCTCAGCCCCACTGTACAGTGAGGAAGAGCTAACATAGAGGGCGGTCAGGAACGGGGGGAGACATCTGCCTCTTCAGCAGCCAGGCGAAGAAGTACTGGCGAGGAGATGGCTCGGTAGCCGTCTAGAGCCGGTCTCCTGACCCACACGCAGCCGAGGGGGCTAGTAGTGACGCGGAGACCCTAATTGATGATGAGGCTGATCGCACTTGGCAGCCTCGTCGTCATCAGGCTATTGCTTTCGCATCATCAGGAGAAGAGGGTGCCAGCTTGCCAGCGAGCAAAACAGTCGGTGTTGCCCAGGCAGGCAGCAGGGTCGCAGCAGTGTCAGTGGAGGCAAACGGCACGGAGTAGAGCACCAGCTCCACTGCAGCCTACCACCACGGCCAGTAGTGGTGCCGGTGTGCACGGAGGAAGTAGCAGTCAGCCAGTGAGGAGTAGCGAGGACAAAGTTTCCTACGCTGGCGGTGTGGCAATTTTTCGTCAAGCCGCCCGAGGAAGTAAACGTAGCCATATGTCGACTATGTGGGCCAGAAAGTCAAGCGTGGCCAGGGGGCCCATGTTGGGACTACAGCGTTGCGTCAGCATATGCAGCGTCGCCATTCGGTTGGCCTGGGAAAACCGTGATAAAGATACGGCGGTTCTGCCTGCCCCAGCCCCCGCTCCATCACCCGCTCCGTTACTTGCTCCGTCACCCGATGCTAGATGCTCCTGGCTTCTCCTGCTACTCCTCTTCATCTACCGGATTCCGTCAGAAGTCTTTCTTGGAATCCGTTTCCAAGAGACAACAGTTTGCGAGCACGCACCCGACGGTGCAGAGAGTGAACGTCCTCCTGTCCAAGTTGCTGGTGCTGCAGTCCCTCCCTTTCCAGTTGTGTGGACTCAGCACCTTTCCGAGAAATGATGGCTTGTGCCGAGCGCGGTTGGAGAGCGTGCCAAGCCGGCATTCTTCGCCAAAAAGGCAGTGCCAGCCCTGCATTCACATGTAGAAGAGATGGTGGGCCAGTCTTTGAGCATGGTCGGTCTCTGCCAAAGTGCACGGCAAGCGCCGACGTGTGGAGCTGAGTAACTACGGTCAGGGACAGTACATGTCATGTTACGGCCCACTGGGTGAACGTGGTGCCGGCACAGCCGCACCAGCAACTTGGACAGGTCACGCCGCTTTTGCCTCCCACGGGGTTTGCACGTCCTTGGTCCAGCAAAGATGTCGCCTCTACCACCTCTTCTTCCGCCGTGTCCTCAGCCGCCCACACCCCCGTGCCAAGTCCCATTTACCCGACCCGGCATATCACATGTGCAGGGGCGCAACGGTGTCACGCTGTGTGCTGCACCTGGTATGCCTTGGCGAACGTTAGTCACACAGGGGAGGAACTTCTGAGTGTAATGAACACAGAGAAATCGACAGATGGCTGTCTCCGCGCAAACTGAAAATCGGAAAACAATGTTGACCGAACAACAGAAAGAACATGGTGTCTGCTGTCTGCGTCAAGGAAGGTTGTGCCATGCGCCATGCATGGCTTCACGTGGCTTCAATCTGGTTGTCAAGCGGTTCCTAAAAAAATCCACCATCCCACTGCAAGACATCCTTAAAATGTCACGTAAACTTTGCATGCATTTTCAGCCATTCCTACACCGCAAAGCACACCCTCCTTGAGCTGCAGCGGCAGAATAGAATTCCACAGCATCGCCTGATCTGCGACGTTGCAACAAGGTGGAATTCAACCCTACAATATGTTAGACCGCCTTTACGAACAGCGAAAGGCCATCAGCACCCGATTTCCTGATGTTACAAGCGGATAAAGGTACTCCCCTGTGTAACTTAGATGTCAGCCATTGGCAGCTCATGCGTGACACCTGCCGCTTGCTCAGGCCCTTTGAGGAGAGGCCACGCTATTCGTGAGGTCTGCGGCAGGACTATGGGATTGAACAACGTCATTCCTCTGTTGCACGTCCCTGGAAACAAATGCTGTTAACAATGGCTGGTCAGGGTGCGTAGACGTGGCGCACAGATCTCAACGGCCACATGACCCCTGTGGGGGGGCAGGAACAGGAAGAAGAGGAGGTGGTAGAGGAGGACATTGGTGCTCAGGAATTATTGAGTGAAATGGGTGAAATGTGTGGTTTTTCCACTCAGCGGACAGGAGTGGAGGAGCAGGAAGCATCTGGTAGGGAGGAGGAGGAGGAGACAAGAGGACCCAGACGCACCGTGGCAGTATGCTGTGGAGATGGAGGGCAGGGAGTCCCTCGCATTCCTTGGCACAAATGGCCATAGCATGCTCGGTTTGCTTGCGTAGCGACAGCCGAATAATAACCATCAGACAGAGGGAATGACCTTTTGGCTGTTCCACTTGTTGGACCCTCGCTACCGTTCAAAAATGGTGGCCTTTTTCACACCTGCTGAGAGGGAGCCAAAATAAAGTTATACTAAAAACCACCTATGTAGTCAGGTTGGTCTCTGCCTTTCTGCGCCAACGTCCCATCCTCAGACTCTGTGGGCCCTGTGCGCTCAGCGTTCCGCTGCCATGGCAGCAGGGGAGGGGTGGAGGTGGTAGGAGCAGTGGCAGCGCTCCACCAGCAGCGGCTGCCTCAGTCTGCAGTCGATGATGAGTAGCTTTCTTCACCAGCGCAGTGAGGAAACCTACTAACCAGCCGCAGCAGCAGCAGCAGCATCAGGTGGACCTGGAGCAGGACCTCAAACAACAGGCTCGGGTAGCTACTTGGACAGCACCCTGCAACCGAGGTAAGACAATCCCCTTGACTACTGGGGCAACGACGAAACTTGACCCTTGGCCCCAACTAGCCTGAATTTGCCCTTGAAAGGGCTGTCATGCCCGGCCAGTAGCGTGGCATTGGAGCGCGTGTAATCGCTGTGTTTAGTGCGGCAGGAGGTATTGTAAAACTCAGCGACAAAGACACGACTGTCCACCCAATGTGTGGAGAGACTCCCACGTTTGTGAAATATGATTCAGGCGTGGATTAGTCTGGATTTCAAACCACCAGTTCCTGACACAAACTGACTAAATCCGCCATGAATCATGCCCCATACAATGTTATTAAATTTTTAACATAGGCCTCTGTATGGCCTTCAATTTTAAGCTGCTTACGCTTCGCCACTCTGCTCATGGGGCCTCCTGTACGCCTCCTCTTGCTGCTGCCAGGTCCAGAAGAGTGTGTCATGGGTCCCTGTACGGCCTCCCATTGATGCTGAAACTTCATCGCAGACTCTGCCATGTGCCACTTTCAGGTCTCCTTACACTGTTGGGGGTTTCCATTTTGTGATAGGGGTGCTGTGTAGGCCTTCCCATTGCTGCTGCCAGTATCCACCGCCACCCTGCTCGCATGTGCCATCTGTCGTCTGCTCACGCTGCTGACAAACTTCCGCTTTTTAACCCGAGGCCTGTGTTTTGGCTTCCGAATACTGCCTGCAGGTCCACCGCCACCCCTTGCGCCATGTGCCTCTGTCTGCTCTGCTCAAGTCTGCTGACTGGCATCCGCTTTTTAAAACATAGGTCCTGTGGTATGGTCTTCCGAATACTGCAGCCCTCCAACCGCCACCGGCGCTGCGCCATTTGTGCCACTTTCAAGATCTCCTTTCACTGTTGGTGGGTTTCCCATTTTGTGATGAGGGTGCTGTATGGCCTTCCATTGCTGCTGCCTCCACCCACCAGCCCTTGCGCCATGTTTCTCTGTAGTCGTCTGCTCACGCTGCTGACGGCTTACCGCTTTTTAACCTAGGCCTGTGGTATGGCTTCCGTAATTACTGATGTCCATCTCCACAGCCACACTGCGCCATGAGCCTCTGTCGTTTGCTCACGCTGCGAGACAGGCTTCCTGCTTTTTTAAAACTTAGTCCTTGTGTATTGTCTTCCGAATACTGCTGCCTCCACCGCCTACCCCTAGCGTCATTGTGCCTCTGTCATCTGCTCACGCTGGCTCGACGGCTTCCGCTTTTTAACCGAGGCCTGTGTTTGGCTTCCGAAATACTGCTTGATCCACCGCCGCGCGAGCTCTGCAGCTGCTGCCAGGACACGTAATTTGTCATGGGGGCCCCGGTACCGAATCCTCATGCAGCTGGCGAGGTCCAGAGTGTGTCCATGGGTCCCTGAACAGGGCCTCCCATAGGCTGCTGTCTCCATCACCACCACTCTGACATGAGTGACTCTTTCAGGGTCTCCTCACACTGCCTGGTTGGGTTCCATTTATGTCATAGGGTGCTGTCATGGCCTCCCATTGCTGCCAAGCACTCCACCGCCCACCACTGTGGCTCCACACTCTGGTTGTGGCCCCATGACTGCCCAAATGAGTGAAGTGTGCGGTGATTCTAAGAACGACGGCACTCATCTGCATGTCATACTGACTGACGGTATTATGTTCTCTTCTCCCAGCAGACTCCAAAGGGCATTTAAATTAAAGGTACAGTGGTCTGCACTAATATAAAGGCTCTCTGGAAGCCTAGAAAACACCCTTTTAATAAGTTAAATTCGCAGCGACATATATTCGCCTCAAATCGAATTTATTCCGCGAATTCGGCGAATCAGCCCGAATCGAATTTTTGAATAATTCGCTCATCTCTAAAAATCCAAACTGTTGCCTGGAGAAGTTTTCATGTGAGAGGGATACTGTACAGCCAATTAAGACTGGTTTGCCTTGAAAACAGGATTAGTGGTATGCGTTAGAAACTGGTTGATGTGTGCCTCTATTAGGGATTGTGAGGTCTGGTACAAGGCTTATAAGAACTTTGAATAAAGTGTTGTATATAGTTGTGATTATAGTGATATTAAGTCTAAACTTGTGACTAAATGTATCCTGTGCACATTGCAAAAAAGGACACATGAACCTCAGGAAATCTGGGGGATCAAAGATTGTGAGATCACAGACGTGGCAGCATTGTGAAATCTTAAAGGTCCTGACATAAAAAAGTTTGATACAGAAAAGGATGCCAGTTGAGCTATCAATAATTAAATATATGGACTTGTCACGGGGCATGGCCAGATGTGAACCAAAGCACACGAACAGCTCCCAAGCTCTGCATTAATCTTCATCCTAACATTCATCAACCTACCGGCACCTATCCTCATCTTTACCTGCAGGACTAAGGCAATTACACCCAGCAATCCTCAGGTTTAACATTGGCTCCTCCTAAGTTGCTCATTAAGGCTCGCTCTGTCCACATGCTGGTGAGTACTTTCCCCATACAGGTAAGGATCTAATGAACTTCACTGTCTTATCTTGGAATGTCCAGGGGGGCATCATTCTAAATTTAAATGAACATTATTATTTAAATGTATCAAGTCCCATGCCCCACAGATACAGTTATTATACAGGAGACGCACCTATTGGACAGCAAAATCTTAGCATTAAATTACATGGGTATTTCATGCTACGTATTCTAATTTTGCTAGGGGAGTCTGCGTCAATCAGTAAATCACTCCCTTGTGTTGTAGATGCTGTGCACATAGACCCCCAAGGTAAATTTGTCATTGTGGTTTTGTGTAAGTGGGACCAGAAATACATAATAATATCTGTTTATATTACCGCCAGCTTTTCACTCCGGTACTTTATTCCATCTTAGATAAATTATCCCCTTATTATCCAGCTAAACTGTTAATTATGGGAGATTCTAATTTGGTTTTGTCTCTGACACTGGACAGGGTTGCCATTCTCTAAGTCTTCTTCAGGAGAATCTTGGGGTCTGGGCGCAGGCTGAGGATTTGACAGAGGTCAGAAACACCCTACGGCTCAGGCATACTCTTTTTCTCCATGTAACATAAAACAGTGTTCCGCATAGATTTGGCCTTTGTGAACTCGAACTTTGTGGCCATCGAACTGTTAGTCGATGTTCAGAGGGCTGAATACCTGCCCATGGCCTGTCAGACCAGACCCCACTGGCACTGACCTTACATTCATGGGACACTCGTAATGCATCCTTGTGGAGGTTAGGTCCTCAGTGGATTTCTCATCCAAGTGCCACGGAGGAGATCCCTGCTGCTCTACGAACCTACTGGCTGACAAACAAGGGGCCCACTTCTCTGGGTCTTGTGTGGAATGCCTTTAAGGCCTATATCACGGGCCAGTTTATTTCTCTCATTGCAGCCATATGTACTGAACAGACTTCTGAGGTTTCAGCCTTACAGCAGAAGGTTGATGATAGAGCTGCATCCTATTGTCTCACACAACCCAGAGGATTGTGAACATTTACTGACTGCTAAGAGAGATCTGCAACCGTATATGGCTGAAGTTACTAAAGAGGATTTACAGCATAGCAGACAATTTAAATGATCGGCCCATGGTCTCTCTATGTTCTCCTCTACTGAGGAGATACTATAGTCAATTGTACACCTCTTCTTTGCCTCCAGACTTTGATTTCTCCCGCCTCACAGATCTCTTGGTTATCTGGCACTAGGTTGGTTATCAGATAGGGAAAGAGAGCTTCTGATGCGTCCTTTTACTGCTGAAGAGGTACTCGCTGTTATCCTCTCTTTCCCTTCTGGGAAAGCTCCCGGCTCTGATAGCAGAGAATTTTACAAAACACCCCAATGATTTTCTGTCCCCTAGATTGGCATCCCTGTACACAGTGTCTAGAGGTAAATTCTTTACCCCCCTCCCATGAATGCAGCTTATATTACTTTATTCACAAAAGCTCAAAGGACCCTACATCCTGTGCTTCTTACAGGTCTATTGCCCTCCTCAACTCTGATCTTAAACTCCAGACTTGGCAGGGTTATAGGTTCAGATCAAACTGGTTTCATGCCATGCAGGTCTACAGACATAAAGGCCCTGATTTACTAATGTGCCTAGGCGCATTTCTGTGGGCTAACGTCTATTTTTCAATAGCGACTGTCTACTTTTAGACGGCAAAGACATTTACTAAAGAAAGTGTCAACAAGTAGACGAGAAATTTAATTTACTAACCAGGCACAATCCAGGAATCAGTCTAAGAAAGCAGACTTGCTAAGAAGCACGTCTAACACAACGAAAAATCACTGCAGAGACATGTTCACATTGAAATTTGCTTTCACAAATATCGGGACCTCACTTTAAACAATATCTTACATTTCAAAAAAATTTTAAATGTGTAAAAATTGCTTTTTAAAGGAATTTCTGAGAGTCAAGAACTAGACGCTCTTCCAGCGTCTATGCACAGATATAAATGTGCATGTGCAGAACACATTTTAGCCGTCTGCCGTGGGCACTTTCTTTTTAGACGCTGTATAATAGTAAATCTCAGTGTGGAGTCCTCTGACAGACGGCACTCTATCTACTGTGTTTAACAAACAGCACTATTTGTAGCTAGGCATATTTTTATGTATTCTAATTTGATTTCCTTAGTTATATTGATTCTGTTTTTGTTCCTATCCTTTATAATTATTTCTGTAATGGTTTTAGATATTTTGAAGGTCTACATAATATATATTTTGACAGCTGAATCTAAAAATAAAGGTCGGCAATTAAAAAAAAATAAAAAACCAGCGTGGGGTCCCCCCCCATCCATTCCAAGCCCTTTGGGTCTGGTATGGATCTTAAGGGGTAACCGCACACCAAAATTTTTAAAAAAATGGCGTGGGGTCCCCCCCAAAATCCATACCAGACCCTTATCCGAGCATGCAGCCCGGCAGGTCAGGAAAGGGGGGGGGCAAGCAAGCGCCCCCCCCCCCTCCTTAACCATACCAGGCCACATGCCCTCAACATGGGGGGGTGCTTTGGGGCATGGGGCTCATCAAGATGGGGCCAAGGGCCTCTTCCCCACAACCCTGGCCGGTGGTTGTGGGGGTCTGTGGACGGGGGATTTATCAGAATCTGGATGCCCCCTTTAACAAGGGGGCCCCCAGATCCTGGTCCCCCTCCCTACGTGAATGAGTATGGGGTACATGGAACCGCTACTCATTCACAAAAGCACAAAAAGTGTAGTGTAAAAAAAGACAGAACACGGTCTTTGACAAGTCCTTTAATAAAAGAAAAATTTAAAAGAATGTCCCTCGAAGTAGATCCAACGTCAATCCATAGATCCGTTCCTGACGATGGCTGCCCAGCCCTCTGCTGTGAGCCTGGTTGACAGTGTGACCCCACCCCATGTGACATCATTGCCCATGTGGCCCTCGCCCCTTACATATTTAAGAACTGTCAACTGTCACAGCAGAAGGCTGGGCAGCCATCGTTGAGAATGGAACTTTTTTTTTTCTTTTTTCCGGTCGCAGGCGGCAGGCTTCGTGATTGAAGTTGGATCTGGGGGCCCCCTTGTTAAAGAGGGCTTCCAGATTATGATAAGCCCCCCCGCCTGCAGACCCCCACAACCACCAGCCAGGGTTGTGGGGAAGAGGCCCTTGTCTCTCTGCCCCAAAGCACTCCTCCCATGTTGAGGGCATGTGGCCTGGTATGGTTCAGGAGGGGGGGCACTCGCTCGCCCCCCCTCCTTTCCTGACCTGCCGGGATGCATGCTCGAATAAGGGTCTGGTATGGATTTTGGGGGGGACCCCAGGCCATTTTTTTTTAAATTTTGGTGTGGAAGTTCAACTCTAAATCCATACCAGACCCAAAGGGCTTGGTGTGGATGGGAGGGGGACCCCACACCTTTTTTTATTTATTATGGTGCTGGTTTTTAAATGTAATTTTTCTTCACTATAGCTCAGAAATTCAGTTGTCATTTCCACCAGCTAAAAGAGAAAGTTTTCTTTCAGTTTATATCCCTAAAGGAAACAATGTTTAATGTTTAATTAAAAGATACAAAGTTTTCTGCAACTTCGGGGAAAGTGATACATAAGCTTGTGAACTATAGTGAAGAAAAAAAAAAGGCTGGCATTTGCATTTAATAAGCAGCGCGACATACACTTTTTATTGCGAAAAAAATTATTAACAACTGTGTAAACTGAGGCATTATTTTCAATGGATTTTCATTCGTAAACCGAAAATTACGTTAACCGAGGCGTTGGTAAACCGAGGTCCGCCTGTATTAGTATTGCAATCCTTTGTATTGGGATACATAGAACCAAAATACATCTGAATTGGCAACATAATACATTTGTGTCACATATGAGATAACTGGCTAGTTACACTGAACTTGCCTAGGGACTTAGGGTTGATTCACACCACAGAAATACAGGCAGGATTAACGTTCAACAGCTCAGTGGATAAGTGGTTAGCACTGCTGCCTCACAGCACTAGGGGTTTTCGGTTTGAATCCTAACCTCGGCACAGAAGTTGCTACCCTAACTTAGATGTGCTGCTGGCAGCATCTTTGATTTCTGTCTAAATGATCCTAGAATGTGAATTAGAATGAGGCCTTGTCTGTTCAAACACCTTTAAAGCTGCACCTTATGTGAATGTCAAACAATGGGATGAGATAAGGGCCTTTACTAATGATTGATATGATAATGCTGGTTTTCACTCAGCTCCCTTTTGGGAAGGATTTGTCAAGCCAAGAGCTGAGAGAGAGAAAAGTA